CATCACATCCTCTTCTCAAAACCAAAACATCCTCTGCATTCAAACAGCCTGAAGCTTTATATCACTGTCAGCACACACTGCCTCTGTTTAGACATGTGGGTTTTCTCTTGATACAAAAGATGATGCTGAATTATCAAAGGATAGTTTGGTTTGTGGGAAACATATTCCTTCTGTTTTTTAGATTCTTGCCAAACTGCTAAGAGTGATTAATATTTTCTTTCCCTCTGTCAAGAGAGTGCATATTTTAAGCTATCACATCATTGCTTGAAATATATGGCACAATTCCACAGTGATGCTTCCAGTGTCCCACTCAACAGCCTTCAATAGTTGTTTAAAGAGATTTGGTTCATAAAACTGAAAGATGTATTGGCAGCAGTATGAAGAATTGCAGTGAATATTTCTCCTCCAGATATGCAGCCACACAAAGGAACTGATACTCTTCCCACTTTAAAGGCATTGGAGTTTATTCCTATTAAGCAACACTTGTGGCACTTCTGACTTTTGGATGTCTTCAGTGTAGAAGTTCTGGTTCTTGCAGCTGCTCCCCATTTTTCTGTGCAATTCAACATCTGAAGATCTTCTGGATAATCTTAGCAGATTTGCCCATTTAAGGTGGTAAAAGAGCATTTTGCCATGATTTCAGGTTTCCCAAGAATGACTGAGGTGCCTGAACAGCAACAGCCCTCGAGTCCATGTGCTTGCTTTGACTGGTAAAAGGAAGGACTCCTAAAATCCAGAAGTTTTTGTTCAAAGCCTGGTTTTGCTGGTTGCAAACAGACACAAAAGCAAAGCAGAAAGATTTGATTCCATGTGACCTTCCCAGAATTCACAGCCAGGCAGTTCAAGCAAAAAAATTGACTCCAAAGTATTTTTCCTTATAAAGGAAATGATTAAACAATTCAAGTATTCATTACAAACAAAGTTTGATTTCCTTCTTTCCTGTTGGGTCATCTGTGCTTTCAAGAGCTGTTTCTGTCCCTCAGCCTCTTCCTCCTCTAGGCTCTCATGTCTCAAGCACAAGAGCCTGGGACAGCCAAGCAGAGCCTCAACCTGCCAGGGGAGACAGACAAGGAATAGCAACTTCCAAGTAAGATCAGGAAAGGAATGACTGGGGTGAAGCAGCTCCTGCCAGCACAAGGAAAGTGGCATCCCACACATTTTTGTGTTCTTTGCATTGTGCCAAGTATAACCTTCAGTCCATCATTGCCTATAAAGCTCAAAAACACCAGTAAGCAAGGCTGGATGTGAGCAGACTGTCTCTGGTTGGAGTGAGCCATCAGCAACACAAGGCTACAGCTGCCAGAGCTGCTATGAAGGAGTAAGGGGTGTATCTATCACCAGTATAATAGCTGTGCCTACAGCATCACCCATGCAAACAAAGCAAAGACCAGACTGCTAGGAACTCAAATGTTGCAGCCCTGCAGTGAAGGACAAAGTTGTTCCATACAGGATTCATCAGGGTGTCCTTGCCTGCTCTCCCTTGTTGTGTTACATATTCTTATTAAGCCAGAAGCAAGAAACTAAAGGCACCAGGACAGGTACAAATCTGATCTGGGCAAAAGCTCAGACAGGACTTGCAGTTAAGTACTTTTTTTTCATTTTGTTCAAGTTTCTTGTTCAATGTAAACAGGAATTAAGGTTGTTTTTCTGGTTCTTTAACCCTATTACACAATAAAGTTGGTGAACTTAGCATGTATCCTACTGTCATAGAATCATGCAATGGTTTGGGTTGGAAGGGACCTTAAAGCTCATCATGTTCCACCCCCTGCCATTGGCAGGGGCACCCTC